TATTAGGCTAAAAGCAGAATTTGTGATGAAACGAGTAGTTCGTTGAGTTTACATATATCCTAATGCTTAAATTGAATTCCCGCGAATAGAGTTTCTCTCGGTATGAGTGCATCTAATCCCGTTCACTTACAATCGGAAACGTCGATCGCAATTTACGAGAAGCTCAGAACTTTCGCCCAGGAGAGAAGTTAAAGGACGGATTAACGTGGTCTTACCATGGTCGCCATTGTGCGCGACTTATCCGAGTTCATCTCGAGGACCTTGATATTGAGTCTTTCCGTTCATGAAAGTGAGTTTATCGGTCGCGAAGGGTCATTAATGTTATCACTTTAACGTATTCGATGAAATTGGTTAGCGAACCGAAAGAGAACTAAAAAGCAGGTGCACAATCGCACTACTTTCGACAATGCGATCGTCGGTGTTTTCGCCTTTTCGTTCGCCGCCATAATCCAGTCTTAAGATAACAATAATATTCCGGATACGTGCAGGAAGAAGAGTTTAATGGATTATCGATGGACCTATCGTCGACCAGTTTACCACACTGTCGCGATACGGTACTTCAATGCACGGTCATACGACATTGTGTACCGTTTTATTATTTTTCCCCGTCAAAGTCATCTCTCTATTCTCTTTAATTTTCGATATTTTTACAAGATATTATATCGGCCGGTTTACTTTTAATCGTAAATGTCCTGTCATTTGCAGTAATGATGTTTTTATTGATGTATTCGAGACTTTTAAAAGAGACTTCAAAAAGTACGGAACTTTCAAAAATTTTTAATTATAAGAATAATAATCACAATAACACCGATAAAATGGCAAGTTTTACATGTACTCATTGGAGTACATGCAAGTTTTACATTCGAAATAATTCGGCATGTCTTAAACCCAGCGCTAGATCCTGCTTACAGCGGGATTTATAATGGACTGCAATTCGACAGCTGCAACGTAGTTCGGCGATAAAAATAAGCGTCGCCGACGTCGTCGACGTTGCTTTAACCATACGACGTCGAACGGCAATTCGCAAGAATTGCTATGGCACTTCGGCCGACAATCCTCGTCTCTTATTTAGCACTTTGAGCCTAGCTTGTTGCAACGACATATTCAAATATTGCCGTGCTTCGTGTTCATTTCAACGGCAACGCTGAAATGGGCTTATAGTACTTTTTTTCATTAATTCCGTAGCTCAGCATATTCAGATAATAATAAGACAATCGTCATGTTATGAACATTTTCAATAGTAATTTTTAACAATCAAATGAAAATGTAATATATTCTAATTTTATATATTCTCCTTTTTTCATAATCATCTCTAGAATATATTTTTTTAATTCAGTGAAAGCGTGCCTCGACACAAAAGTTCTATTCATCAAAAGATTCTTGTTAATTTTCTAACTATTTTTAAAGAAGACGTCCGACTTTGATCTTTTAACTCAATTTAGCAAAATTCGTAAGACATCGTGTGAGATCGTGCAACAGATAAAGCTGAGGTATTAAATCGTTATTATCGCGAGATTATCGTCACATAAAAAGATCGTTAAGCTCAACTTCATGTTACACCGCTATAAAAACCTACCACAGGATGTACGCCGTCGAGACCAAAGGAATCGTTGCGATCTTTCGCATGATCGACGTCTACCCAAGCGAACTGGCAAAACGTGCATGTGAAACCGTCGAAACTTTGCACGTCGCGCTCAAACTTTGTGTACATTGCACTTATTTTACGGTCTCGGCTGTAGCAGTGATATTCCTTCTCTCTCCCTTCGAAATTGATTTATCACCACTCTCGAATTATCTCGATCGAAACGTGTTCTCACGGTTTTCCCGTCTCGTCGTCCCAACATTTCGCGAGCGAGAATAAGACGGAAGCTCGTGACGCGCTACTCCATCATAATTCGTGTAATTAGCTTGCATCTTACGCAGAATGATTTTTCCCGACGTCAGATATTAATATCGCACTCTCCCTTGAATGCGAATGCCGTGCGTTGAACATCGTTATTTGCGGGAAATATAATTTATTATTCCATAAAATAAAACAAATGGCTCATTTTCATGCAAATTACGCAACGGGGATAAAGTTGTAAGAGTGGCCCTTCATAAAGCGAGCGATAAATAATCTCGGGATGACCAAACTGATAATGTGAATCGATTAAGCGATCGCGTCCTGCTATATAATCAATAAGCGACTTATGCTGCCCATTCTTGCTTTGCATAATTCACAAAAAGCGCCGACTCATATTTTAAATCGTTCGATTACGTAGAGATCGTATCGCTGTGTAACGCGATCGTATCGTGTCGCGGCCCGGGCAACATTATACTTTAATAAATATCCGATTAACGTGAGGGCAGACACTTCGCGAAGGCCCGCAAGATCGGCTCTCTTCAATGACGATGCAATTTTTTATTCTACAGCACACTGGTTCATCGAAAAGTCATATTCAATGATGTTCGCAGATCGACCTCAATCGACAAATCAAATCTGGAATTTGGAGACGGAAGTGAGTCAACTTTCGCAAGAATGACAATTCCCATGCGAAACTTTCGAGCAATTTTTGCACATTATCCGAATATTCACAAAAAGATCATTCCGGAGAATAATAATTGCAGTTTAAAAGGATAATTTGAAATATATGAGTCGACGCACGGTTCTTTTAATGCGAATAAGGAAACTTGTCCCTTAAATATTGATCAAGCTGTGAACAATGTAAAAATTAAAATATTTTGTTGCTCCAAAATTTAAAAAAATGATGACGAAAGAACGTATTCTTCCGCCCGCGTTAAGGTCACAACAACGAATGACAGATGAATAAGTTTAAAAGGATAATTTAAAATAAGAACTGACACAAGATTCTTTTAGTTAGATAATAAGAAAACTTGTCCTTTAAATATCGATCGTAAATGATCTAAAAATTGACATACTTTATTACGCCAATAATTGCAAGTTGCATGACAATGCCGACCGAAGAAGCCGAGTTACTTTCCGCGGGCTCTAAATTTAATCCGCAATTGTTCCCACATGCACGGAGAGGTGTAGGGTCCGCGATGATTCAACTCTCCGTTGAAAACGTATCGTGTTCGCAGACATAACAACGATAAATCCGCAAACGATCGCCAACAAACGATGTTGTCATCGTTAGGGATACATCGGAGATTTCTCGTGGCTGGTCCCGTCGCGAACCATCGCCCGTGAAAAGCACGTGGCGAGTCCGAGGGCGAGGAAGGGATTGGTCCATCCGCTTCCCCTACGCAAACTCGGCTCGCGGAGCGCGCGTCTCATCCACCTCGGCGAATCCAGTCGACGTTTGGCAACGCGTCCCTCATCCGGTATCCCGACGACCCTTCCGATCGGGACGCGCGATACGCGAATGTGCAAATAACTTTCCGCCACTTCCGCAAAACCCGGGCCGTTCACTGTGCACCAATCATCGCAACGATCGATATCAAAAAAGAAAAAGATCGTACTCGCGTATAAAATTTGAGAAATCTCTTTTCGCGTCTTACAATTAAATATAATTCGATTAATCGAATAAAATTTCACGTAAAAAAAAAACGGTGAGGCAAAAAACGAAGTTAATGTTTCGGGAGGATTTCCCGTAACGCGACTGCACCGAGTGTCATGCGCGCTTTAGGAATCGTTGTTTCGACCGGATACGTAGCAGCATCGTTGACCCCCTTTGCTTTGAAACTGACCGTACGGCTATATTTTTATCGCGGCCGGCACGCAAATTGCAGTCGGATTTTTCTGGGTTCGATGTTCGCGAGAAGTTGCTTCGACTGTAGTTACAAGTGACCGAAGTAGGAATTAATACAGAAACTACATCTTTCGATGAAGATTTACTCCCTTCGGGTGTGTCAGAGTAATATATATTGAAAATAATGTTTAAATGAAAAATAATTTTATATATATTTTTTCGTATATTATAATTCCTCTTAAAATTAGTGTTTCTCATTTTTTCACTGCGTCAGATTGCGTGCCACATTTTTTCGCATTAATATTTTCCAATATTGTCAGCGTCTGAACCTTATCTTCCTTTATACATTTATGTATAACATGGATCGCGTTTCGTTCTAAAATTCAGTCATCTCTCGTTTTATGACGCACTTAAATAAAGGAAACATCGGCATAATTTTGAGATGTAGCTCCTGTCGCGACAAATTTTCTTAAAAGCGAGACCGATTTAAATGCGAAATATACGAAGTCAACCAAGATGTTGCTCAGTCACGGGTCGTTTGCCTGTCTAACTAAATTACACAATCGCTGAATTAACGGGAGCGGCCGTATGTCGTAGCTGCACGCTCCGACGTCTCGTTTCCTCCCTCCCTCACTTCCTCCTTGGTTACACCTCCCGCTCTGCAGCCTCTGTTTGCTGAGCTTTTAGCATAATGCACTTACACGCATATATAACCGCTGAACACGTCACGAAACTCACGACTGGAGACATGCATTACTTCACACATGCCCTGTGATCCTGATTTTATTGCCTTTTAATACCTTTTATTATCAGCTTGAGCCAAAAGGGCGCATTTTTTTTTTTTATACAAGAGGACAATTCTGAGTCTGTTATTCATGTATCCTAAGCGAAAAAATGTATTAAACGAATGCTAATGAATCATAAAATTTGTCCAAACAGATCTGGTAGACTTGTACAAAGTTTTCTGAACTTAAAAAACAAAAAAATTACCTAACCTCTTGTCTCTTTAAGCAAAAAAATCCCTTTTTCTATTTATATTGTAAAATTCATTGTCAATTGAAGAATTGTAATATATATATATATATATATATATATATATATATATATATATATGTGTGTGTGTGTGTGTGTGTAACGATTACTGAATCGAGAAACGACGAGTACGAGGAGAAATACCACGACGATCGGTAAACTCGCAACATGGCAAACGAACATCGTCTAAAGAGAAGGAATATCATAACGTTGGCGAAAAGAGTAGTCGAAGTCGCGTATCGTCAGTGTCTAAGAGAATAGTCATTCGATCGCGAGATGAAGAGCCGAGAACGCAACGGGAGGACTGTCGTTCCGAATCCCGGTTACGAGGACAGTGGAGTCGCGACTTCCGGCGAACTTGGCGAGCATTCCTTTTCCGGGGAATGCGAAGGGATAGTATCCTTTCAAGCGGCCCGGGAACCGAAAGGGACCGAGGAAGACGTGAATCCGGATCCCAGGTTTGAATGTAACCGCATTGACTGTGAGCGATCAGGATCGTCTTTCTACGCCAAGACAAATGTCAACGATATCTCAAATACGTTCTACCGCGAATTCAAATGAGCCTATCCTTTGTATCGTTTCGTGAATCCATTTCCTATAGAAGCCAAAATTACTTTGAATTAATCGAAGCAATTAGTGTCACCAATTACTACTCTCGCAACTTGATCGAAAGTTGACGGTTCCGGAGCATTGTATGTTCTGTAACAGTTTCTTAAAATTTCTCCCAAATCAAAGGCCGCTGTAAAAGCATTTATATCTCGAGGGAACAATCTACAACGCGTAATTGGACGGGCGTGAAACACCGAACGTAACTCTCGAATGCCATGTATGCCAGGTATGCAGCGCGCTTCACCATAAGACAACATTATTATCCCGAAAACGGTTGGGGTTGGGTCATCGTCGTAACGGGCGTTATGGTGCAAATTCTCGCCACGGGAATTCACGGGGCCGCCGGGGCCTGGTTGCTGCTCGACGGGGCAAGACGATATCGTCAGAATCTTCTCAACGTAGGTACGTGACGCGAACATTATTATCAATATTTCTTACCCAAGGCGACCTCGTGAAAGATAACCATTTCAAACTGATTGATCGATAATAGACCAAATGGAGGAACATTATATTTACAAGATAATTTATAAAAATATTGGAGAAGGCTATATGCATTTTATCTCCTGGCAGGCATCTAGCGTTATGTACTTGATTATAATGCGCAATAACACGAGGCAAACCTCGTTATTACTTGCGGCGTGCTGTGCTACGAGCGCTTTATCATCGTCCTCATAATTCGATCGCGATTTATTTTTAATGCCTTTCGCTAACTTGGAGCTTGTTAACGAGTTTCGTTGATCCTCGATCCTTCCTCTACGACGCACGATCGTATCTCAAAAAAGCCATCGTGAGATTTTGGCAACGAAAAGGTGTCCCGAGCAGCGAGGGGACGAACGAATGAATTGTGTATTTTGGCGAGAGCCTCGAGAGTGTCTGATGGGCGGATAATGTTCTAATTGACTCCTTTCGATCTGTAGTAAGTAAAGGATGCATCTGCTAAGAAGCTTATTTTTTCAAGTTTGACATAAATACGTTCGACACGGTTCTTTTTATTCTTGCACACTTAACTAATTAGCATCGTATATTTTTTAATAGTTCTTCCAAATTTCCCTCAAATCGAATATTGTTGCAAAACTATTTGTGACGATATCTTGAATTATAGTATAATTAGTAGAACTATAATCAGTATTTGAAGAGATCGAAACGTTTGGCAACATTAAGGTTACAAATCTAATGTATCAACTAAACTTTCGCATCTAATTTAATTTTTGTATACATAGCACTAAGAGATCCATACCTTGCTTATTACGGCTTGATTTAATTTAATTAATTTAATTAATTAAACCCGTTCGTACGACTTTATTTTCTCTATCATGCATAGATTTAGATAGATTGTATAAATTATATGAAATCGTCCCATTCATGTGTTAACAAGAGACACTGTCGTCCAAATCATGCAGTCCTTGGAAACATTTCGAACAGAACGCACGATTATATGGAGGATCGGGAGACAAATAGAAGCGAAGTCGCGTTACTTCAAACTGTCGCTCTCGCTCCTTAAGGAGCTTACGGCGAAAGAACTCCCGCGAATCGAGCTTCCTCGTCTTTCGCGAAGACACGGTCGCCAAGTAAAAGCCCGCAGCAGCTTACAAGTCATTGACCCTGATGGCAGACGCTCTCGCTCTCGCCAATTCACTCTCACTGTCGTTTCACCCTATTCGACGGAGACCATCGAGGGTAGAAAGTAAAGGGTGGAGAGTACGCGCTGTTCTTACGGTTCTCGATTCCGTTCCTGACCGAGAAGAAAAACGCGAGAAGTAGCGAAGCATTATATGACAAACCTTCCTCTTAAACTTTATAAACCAGGAGCTATTGCATCCCGTGCGCATCTTTTCCGCGAGTTCCCCATATTTACGGAGCGCTTGTCGCAAAGCCACGATTACAAACAGCATTACGTATCAAATAATCCTTTTGCTGTGGCGCGCTTTAACCAAAAGTCTGTATATCGGCACAGCATTCAATTGTATGACACTGAGGTGGAATAATATGGTAAAGAAAATTCCAACTGAAAGGTGCAAACGAAGTACAGTACATGAGAAAATATTGTAGTAAAAATTACCAGAAAATATTGGACCATACCGGAATTATGACCGAAATTATTATGTGTGTTGTAGTCTTTAGTAATGTGTACAATGAAGTGTATCATTAAAGATTACATCATAATTTCAGTTATTATTCCGATGTGGTCCGATATTACAAAATTTGGGATAATTTTTACTACAATATTTTTTCCGTGTACAACATCCGCAAATGGCGAGCGATTTTTCACTTATATATATATATATATATATGGTGTGTGCAGTTGAGAAGTAGCTTCTCAGAGACGAGTATATTCGTCGTATGAAAGGGTTGAATTAATAGACTTCAAAATTCATCGCAATGTGAGATATTTAATAAAGCAACTTACATTGCCGCAGATCCCTGCATTTCATAGTTATTCAGCCATCGTCGCTGTGTAATCCGTAACACAAATATAGAAATAACATTGTTATATATATACGTGTATCAAGAGCGGATGCCGCGATGAGCCCGTTATCGAGCACAAGCATTTCAATTTGATGAATTCCGAAGGAATTGTCCGCATACAAATCTCTCCTAAACTTTCTCTCTCTCCCTCGTCAACGTCGTAAACGATAATAACGGAAGCATCCTGTGTATATCCCAGGGCGAATCCGGACGTATATATATATATATTTATAGATATATCTGCCTTCTCATAGGAGGGAAAGACGGTTGCGGCTCCTCCGGAATTCCGTCAACATCCAGAAGGAGAAAGAACCGGGAGAGATCATGTGAAAGAAGGAGCGACCTTAAACGACGTTCCCTACGAATAAGTAACCGGTCGTCGCCGAGCAACATTTAACGCACCGTCGTAACACGCACAGTGAAATTAATAGGGGTTTTTCTTCGTCCAACGCGATTTGTGACGCCGGCTGGGTACTTCTCGTAATATAAACCGCACTCATCGCGATCGATGAATTCTCGTATTCGATGCGAGTTGGTAAAAATTAATTAAAGGACGCGGCTCTTTTTCTCTCCTTCGCTGGAAGACGGAGAGTGACCTGATCGCATCCGCTTAATAGTGCAATTAAAATGGTCTTAACTGCGATCGAACGCTTGTTCGCCTGCGTCTATCGTATTAATTAGCGTTTTAGCGAGAGCGATTGCGCGCGCAGAGCTACGACTGAAAATGTACGAGGGCAATCGCGATTCTCTCTCAAGAGACTACGAAATTACATCTAGTAGAATTTTCTCTTTATCGTTGAAGCAAAATCCATGTTAAATACACTATCAACTGTATGTAAATCTGTAAAAAAACGGGCAAGTTGTTTCCAAGTCCACTATTTAAAGTTTAAATACCGAAAGGATCTCGCATTTTTATTCTAATTCACCTGATAAAAAAGAAAAGAAAATTTAAATCTAACTTAAATCAAATTTAATCCTTCTTAAATTAATTAGGTAATCGATTGAGGATATTGATATGCTTATATCGACGATACTTCGAAGAAAACGTTCTCGATTTAAAAGAGATGATTTACACGGTCTACATATAGATATAGACGTAAACTATGGAGACGTTTTCCCCCAGCATTACTCCAAAGTAGATGCAAGAGGCTTTATCCCGGAGCCAGACGTGATTTATTGATGAAATTTCACGGCCGCGATAGACGCGCTAAACATGCGTTGCGTGGCAAGATTGAGACGAAAGAGGGAAGAATGAGAGGCAAGGCGTCGTATTCGTTAGCGCGTCGATGGGCACTTCGAATATTCTTTGAAAACGGTGACTGATCATAAATCATTTAAGAAGCGACGGATAACAACGCGTTAACTTTATTAGCTCCGACTGGTCGAGTATCTGGGCTACGGCAGTAGGTAAGTTGGTTGCTTAAAAGATACGGCAGCAGAGTCGCAAGTTGTGCGAAAAGATATATATATATATATATATGTATATATATACACATATATATATGTGTGTGTATGACCCGAAGTATCAAACCGAACAAATTTCCGAGCTATTCCCAACTACTAATGACGGACGACGTCGGAAGTCGATCGATGTGGAAAACAAACATTTCCCGCCATGGTCGCGCAGCACCAATCGCGGTTTATCCTGCGATCCTAAAGTATCGGAGGAGATTCGTCGGGTCTCATTGCCGTACACGATACACAGCTCGCGAGACGAACTTGCTTCACCGTCGACATGCAGTCGCCCGGAAATCCGCAAAATGAAGGAACTGCACGTTCGACTCTATCTGATTTCTTCGTCAAGCAGACTCGAGCGCATTTTCCACCAATTTCAAATAGACAGAGGAGCAAGAACCAGAGTGGAGAAGATAATCGGATGCGCGAAGAAGCACGTTGCAGCGGTATGACGTCGGGAGACAATACTCCGGGGAAAATGAGGAGCGGACGAAGCGTCCTGTTATCAACGACGCGTAACGAAACCACTTTGAAATTGCCTTGCATGATTTGACGTTTATAATGCGGGACAGATTGCGAGCGATACACTGTGCGAGTCGTATCTCCTACGGGGCCGTCGATCAACGACACCGGCGACGTTCCGGCAAAAAGTTAATAACAACTCCGTGAGGAGACCTCCAGCTGCATTTTTTCGCCGCGAAATTAATTCTGTCGCATACCGGCGTATAAATGCGTCAACGTGTCTGCATCACGCAGCGATAAGAATATGCAGTTATTACTAGGTAGTGGTGCGTATGTCGGAAATTCGTTTACATCGGTATAATGACAGTTGCTATTTTCTCGTTAGTTCGTGCCGCGGTTTTATCAAGGAGCCTCATCTGCCCCTGTGTGATTGATCAAAATTTGAAAGATGTTCTTTCGTTGCAGGATGGCTGGGGGCAATGTCGACGGGTGTCGCCTTGCTGGTGTCGCCGGTGACCATAGCGTTCTGTCGAAGAAAAAGCACCAGAGTCACAGCGGTTTTGGGCGGCCTCGTCACCGCGCTCGGCTGCCTCTTCACTTCCTTCGCCTCGCAATTTCATCAATTGTTCTTTAGCTACGGCACCGTGGTCGGTGAGTAAAGATCGTGACGGAACTCGTCGGTTGACTACTTGCTACGAATTATTTCTGTACATAGAGAACAAGATTTCTTCGGATTTAGTGTTTGATTCGGGCTTGTTTAATATAAATTATTGTTAAAAACCGATTGTTTCCCGAGCCTTCAAAACTATAAACAATTTAATGCCAAACATCATTTTGCTGGAATTAAAATGTTTACAAATCTCTGATCGATTTGATATTGAAACTTCTACGACGAATTAAAATTTTTGAACAAACAATGAGGAAATTAATAAATTCGTTATTTCCCGATGTTTTATGCATATAATTTTGCGATATATTAATTTTATCGTTACAAAATTTATCGTGTCGCTATTATCAGTAAATTATTTCGCAACCCCCAATTTAATACATTTACATCGATTTCGACCGATAGAAGGGAGTTTTCGATAATTAATTCGCAACATAATAAAGCCGATAACAAACTATATGAGCATTATATAGCATTGTACTAATATATAGACCATAATCGGAGGGAAGGAATCTACGTCTTTGCGACTCCATGTTGCCAAATGGTTATTTAGAGTTGTGAGTCATCTTTCTTTGTTTCCGGCACCCATTAGTCGCGTTCATTCTTATCCTCCCTTTCGAGTCAACTCCCGAGGGCAATTTCGGCAGCACAGAGAATAGTAGACGAAAGTGACGAAATATGTCTGAGCGATAACGAACGAACTACTACGGACGATCTCGAAGATTTGACCCGTCGCTATTTTTTATATCATACAGGGATAGGGGTTGGAATGACGAGAGACTGCAGCACGCTGATGGTAGCCCAATATTTCAAGAGGAAAAGAGAGCTCGTTGAAATCTTCATCGTGTCGGGCAGCGGCTTGGGCATAGCGGTTATGTCCGCTTTTATAAATGGCATGATAAGGTACGTTAAATGTACACACGTTGAAATTTTATTTCGACGAATTCAAGGTAGGGCACTAAGAATTCGCTCGGTTACAGCAAAATCGGATGGCGACTCGGTCTTCAGGCCGTCACGGGGGTGGTTTTTCTCACCTTCATTCTCGGCACTTTTTACCGCAGCGCCTCGTTATATCATCCCCAACGGCGGGCAATTTTGCATTTAAAGAATCAGAAGCGCAAGATAAAGGACAAGAACAAAGACGATAGGCCGCCGTTTTTCGACTTCAGCACTCTGAGGAGCAAAACAGTGAGGATCTTGCTGGTGTCTACCGGGATCTCGGCCTTCGGGATCAACACGCCGATATTTTATCTGGTAATGGCGCGAAGTGAAACCGAAAGACTATTTTAAGTTTAGGGGAGACCGGAATAGAGGATTTGTTTTTTGTATAGGCGCATCAAGCCGAGGAGGAGGGTCTCGGTGACACGGTCGTCCTGCTGCAAGCTTATCTCGGACTAGCTTGGACCCTCGGCTGTGTGGCTTTCGGGCTTTTGGTCGTTCATCGCAACGTCGAATGCAGGATAGCCCGGCAATATCTCACGCAAGCGGCTGTCTTCGTGTGTGGACTCTGCATTCTCGCTCTCACCGCAGTCCAAGGAAATTATCACGGATATGTGATGTTCGCGTGGGTTTACGGTAATGTGATGTTTACTCGAAATAGAATGATGGAAGACGCCTTGTGGTAGAAGTCCCAGACCGTCGTTCGATATTCTTAAATAGCGATGAGACTGCTCTTGCGTGAGAATGTTCTTTTTTCTTCGACAAGGAAACAACGTAGTAAATGAGATTATGTGATCGGAGTGACTTTCAATTTGCGCGTATCACCTCGCCGCCGTTACTTCGAGGAAGATCAATGATGCAAAGAGCGGGAGTCGACGAACTCTCATAATTTACGAAACGCGAGTAATGGGAATTTAGTAGCACGATTCGTCCCACCTTTTATCCCTTGCCTCATGTAATAAAGGCTTTCCAGATCGAATTACGAGCGATAAAAAAAAACACATTGTCCTTTCTATAGGCATCTTCTGCGGCGGCTATCATTATAGCCTGAAAATGTACACGTATGAGAGAGTGAGGGCCCGGAACTTCGCCAGAACGTGGGGCTTCGTCCAGTGTTCCCAAGCGATACCAATAGCAATCGGAGTGCCGATATCAGGTAATTAAAAGGAGAAATTATTTAAAAAAAATAATAATAATAACGTTACATCTGTAATTGATGGAATAATTTCGCTAAGTAGAAAAATACGAAATAAAGAAAAAAACAAGAAAAAAACAAGTGATAGTACCATATATTAAAATTAGAAATTATATTTGGAGAGCCGTTTGTTTTTTTGATTTTTCGTAAAATTTCTTTGATTTTAGTAAAGTATTTTTATCCGAACACGATTTTCCTTAAATATCTGAAAAGCGTTGAACGCATCTGCAAATCTTGTCAGCAGTCTGTAAATCTTCCGTGCTTTACAGGGTACATAAACATAGGTTGCGGCGGCAAGGCCGGATACTACTTCAGCTCGACGTGTGTCTTGGTCGGCAGTTTCACTCTCTTCTTCATTGATTTGCATAGAAGAAATTTGTTCAAGCATAAGCACACCAGAGCGAATGGTACTAAGCACTTGTGCGCCTCGGACAACTGCCCTCAACGACGACGCGCGTCGTTCAGTCAGGAGCCCGAGAACGAAGGGCCCCACGTAGCCGCCGCTGGAGCGGCTGGAGCGACGGCAGCGGCGCTTGTCCTGGGCGCTGACATCGCTCCGGCGCAAGGTATGTCCTTCCAGTTCCTTGTGTCTTTGTAATCCTCGATATTCCTGCGAGACAATTAATCAAAGCGAGATCTCGTTAAATAATCGCGCTGTCGCTCTAGGTGACGTGATAGACGTCCTCGGGGCCGACAAACCGGAGCTCACATGCATCTCGGAAGAGGGTATCGCCGACATGGATCTACCCGATAATCTGTTCGAGGATCTCGAGTACGTGGGCGACTGTATAACCTCGTGCAACAAGGTCGAAAACTACCTCATGCTCTCGGAATTCGAGAACAATCTGATCGCCGAGATGCCGATGATTATGGACCGCCGTGGACGCAGATGGTCCTTGGCGCGATCCAAAACCGGTCAACCGCCCGCCAATTCCGGCCAGACGAGCGGCGCGCAGTCGACGAACGACGAGGAAGAGGTCAAGTCGAAGTGGCGTCTTACAAACGCCGCGCCGTCAAACAGCAGAACGATCACCGTCATCGATGAAGCTAGCGCATAATCTCGAGCACGGACGAGGCGGTGCTATTAACCCTAAACTTGACAGGAAGCGAATCTCAAATAATATGATGATAGGTGTGAGAGAAATTGAGTTTTCTTAAAAACGAGAGAAAGAACGAAAAGTATTTAACACTTGACATATTTTTAACAAAATTTTTCTCAAATATCGTTTATATGAGGCAAAAAATAATATAATAATGAAATGGAAAGAAATATATATATATATATACGTGTAATTTACACGCAGATCTTAAAAATTTATAAACATATTTTAATATGTAAAGGAAAATTAAACGTCTAAATGATCAAGAGAAAAATTGTATCTTGAACCGTGAGTGCAAATTGCCAAGTGTAGGGTTAAAGAAAACCCGTGATGCTCTCTTATTTATTACAGAGAACAATGTGCTAAATTTATTCGTCTGCATTAAAAATCGATGAAACACCGATAATCTACGTAAGATATTTTCGAACCAAAATTTTTTAATCGCGCAATTCTAGTTTTTGGAAGAGAGGAATTACGCATAAGAAAAAACCAAGCTACGAAATGCGAGACACTGACTGAATTACTCCGATTACAGCATAATTGATCAATATTTAATTGTAAATTATTAGTTGTCCTGTTTATCACCTTCTGTGTCGACCTCGAGTATTCATAGAAGTTACATTGGTCGGTGGATACAGTGACACAATATCCTGGACGTGGCGTATAGCAGTTCCTTGAGAACGTATTCACTCGAATGAGATGCGATCACTCGATTCGCGATGCAATTAAGGACAATAATGTCGGCTTTCGACGAGAGGAACCACGGAAACGCTCCGTCCACACGAAATGAACCTCGACTCGCGTCGGCGTGTTGCTTTGTGTAAGCTTCCTGCTAATTCACTGTCCGAATTATAACTCATCGTTACCGTATATTTAACTCGCAGACGGCATTGCGATTTATGTCTTGAGATACTTGAGAAAATAAACTTGAGAGAAGGAACTCCGCTGGTTATGTAAACGGAACGCAATGGTAAGCTCAGGCTCTTGGTACAAATGTTGCGATTTACGCGAAGATTATTGTGCGACTGATAAAATAGTCAAGGATACACGTGATCGTAGCAAAAATAACATTAACTGGCAAATTATACTTTTAGAACGATAGAAAGAAAGGAAAGCAACATGCAAAATTAAAGTCGTTTTGTCAAGAACTTTTCGTTCTTGCCGAGTTTTATGAATGTTTGAGACGTCGGTGCATGTTTTGCTACGATGAAAATAAGAACTGGCAGTGGAAAAGTGAGAGAAGTAATGCTTGTATGTAGACACGCTAGCTTAAGATTCGAAAACTAGTCCGATCGCGATTTAGAGACGGCGGTAAAGCCGTGAAAATACGAGCATATACACATATATATTGTCTATAACAGTTTTTTCGGTCTACATCGAGGCGCAGCGATCGACTCCACATTAATAATGCATAATAATCGATTTATTTGTCCCTTTTTTATCGTACTACTTATATCAGAGTGTCAATACTCGATATTACTGCCGTATATATACTGCCGTATATATATTAAAAGTATGCAGACGTAGATTGTTCCAACGTTAATAACATCAATCGCGTCTTTCAGGATTTAACGTGTGTGAGAGGATCTACTCGGATAAATTATATCTTTTTTGAAACAATACTGCGCCATAAAAATCATCGAAATACGTTATTGTGTGGTATATATGTAAAGCGTGCTTTTTCTCTTTTTTATAATTACTTATACGATTAATATAAAAATAAAAAAGAAAAAGATATTAAACAACTGCCATTTAAAGTACAGTACGAATCTCGTGAAAAAATAAAACCGTATATTCTCAATTTGGATTATGAACATTTTTTTTTTACAGAATAATTTTCCCTCTAAAACAAAATTATATTAAAAGAAAAAGAGTTCCAACAAAGGAGTTCCAACAGGAAATCGATCCACCATCTATCAATTTTTTCATAGTGTGTGTGTGTGTGTGTATGTGTGTGTGTGTCGAATCGCTAAATATACCCCATAAAAACAAAACTGCCGAATATATTATATAATCGTAATGTTATTAATATAAAAATGTGATTCAAATACATGAAACTTGTATCATCATCATTTCTCGCAAAATGTCCCGATTACAGACTCTCTATCAACCCGAATGGAAAATCTTTCAATTTCAAACGAGCATTTAATCAATGTGAAACTCTCTACGCCATAACAAGCTCGATTTGAAATTGGATCAAACGACACGGCCAAACGACCCAATTACGCATTCCAATGAATGCGATATCAATATCGCCACGTTAATTACGCATTTCTGGTTGACCTATTAGTTTCAAATGAAACACGCATATGTTATGCGCGTTCGATTCAGCGACCATCAAATAAAAAATATCTCTGAATCACCATGCATCTGATGTGACTTAATTTGAAATTAAAGCTCCGGAATGTTAATTTGAGAACGGAAATAGACGCTACCTCATGAATTTCGCTCCAATTACTCGATTTGGCTTCCAGGTTCGAATTATCATCGTTTCATTTCAACTTGCACGAACCGGGCGAATGTCCTAGTTTCTATCTCGGAATTCTCCGAGAGAAATGTTCGAGAGGTGTATTGAGGTAAGTGTATAAGTGTATCGAGTCGCGCGTTTATCATATTGTCTTGCGTCGCGTGTTCATTACCACGCAATTGTGTGCGTGGCGATTGGCACGATGTGTACGATAAGAGGTAACGCACGGCGGCGGACAATCGCTCCAAGGCGTCTCGCAATCAAATGCCCCTGTGGCATGAGTCGTGACAGTTATATTCTTGCGAAAAAAGTCGCACGAGACTCGACCGAGTCCTCGAGGTAAGTCCTGACGACCATAATTTTTACAACAGCAGATTCTCAATTATCAAGCTAGCACTTTTCCTATGATCTCTTCCTCCGTTAATGTTAAAGAACAAATCCTATTTCGTATTCTAACAAAAACCAATGTAACAAGATTTTACCCAAGATATCGACAATATACAATCTGTCTATGTAATAAAAGCATAACTTTTACATTATTTATTATTAAAAAATAAAAAGATACATACTATGCGATCACTGTAACGCTTTTATATTGGTGAGTCGTTGTCAATTATTGTCTGACAAACCATACTTCCTTGCACTAATTTTATAGCAAACTCTCGAGATAAAGATCACCATATTGAACGAATCTATTACATCGTGAACACTTTTCCCCATGCAGCTTTTCATTAATGCCCAGACATTTTCAATTGAATTTGCGTTTGGTGACTGTGATGGCCAGTCTAGTGTTATTTTCTTCCTTCCATTAGAAATAAAAGACGACTCTAATGTCGTTGTTCTCTTGAAAGATCCAATCTCTTCGAAATCACTTTTCGGCAAGTGGTATTAATGCTCGCTGATAAATTTCGACCAGCTTCTTAGCACTTAAATTCTCCGATAGACCGAGGTGAATTGGATCACAGGAAGAATCGGATCAATATAAACTTTGAGAAAGTTGTAGTAGTTTTTTTGCCTCAAACGAGTTGTTTTATCGTGCCGGTTGTACGCTTCCTCTACATTCGTTTGAAACAAAAAACTAACAATTATCTCAAAGCTTATATCGATCCGATTTGACTCGGTCTACTCCCTGTACTTCGGCATTCATCGTTAAATATATCGTTCTCTAACAAAAATCAAACAATAATTGAAATTTTCTGTATAATGCGTCGTAGGGAAAGAGTTCTATTCGTTCAAAACTTTTCGATATAATGGTTTCTAAACAAAAGTTTACCCGGTCATGTTCTTATTAGACAGACTGTAAATTAATAATACAAGAAGACATTTTCAATTAAATGCCTGCCCGAACGTTTTATCGCTATAAGCGAATAAATAAAAATATAGCAATTGACACATTTAAAATAGGAGAATAACCAAATTTCATGTTAGGGCTAACGTAATATAATAATCCTATGTAACACTGATTGCGCTAATAAGACGAAATCATCTGTTTGTTTCGCATTTGGCGCAGAAGGTTGATTAAAACTCCGGTATAATTCGGAAATATCATTTTTCCATCCCTGACGAGACCACGAACTATATCGTGGGACGAACATCATAAATCAAATGTAGGGTCCCGCTCTCTTGGGTCATATTCTGCGCTCCTGGAACTTTTATGAACTGAGCTATGTGTCACTTCACAACCCCTTCTTCAATCAGTCTGATCGCTCGCATCTCTCTGTTATCTCTCATCAGTTAATCCATCGATCACCCCTTGCGGCCATTCGTTTTGCCACCAATCTTGTGACCGTCTCGATATGTACAGAGGCGCGAGTACAGGACGCGATGAACCGCACAATTTAACGATTTGAGATAAGAGACAACGTGTCTTGCAGCACGTAGGACGAAGATGGCGTACGGGAAGTTGCACGTGCTACCATTGAGCCTGTTCATCTTAATTCCCGTGACATTTGTGATTACGTAAGTCTCGCGAGAACGACGAGAGTACGATAGGCGAAATCGTTAAAGATCAGGTAGCGATAAGTCATGATGAATATATTTTCTGCGCAAATTAAGGTCCCAAGTGATTATTTTGAACGTAATGCTTTAAAACCTTTGTCTCTGTTCAATAGTTTAGTAGTCGCAAAATAGAATTTGTTAATTTCCTAATATTATTATCCGTATTTCTCATCATTCTTGAAAAATCTTAATCTATATTTTGCTTGCATGCGATCAAATTCTTATGATCGATTACTAAACGCAAAACTCTCAATACGGATAATACTCGATAATTTATTAATCTGAATGCATGTAAAATAAAAATTAATTTTTTTTTCCTTTTATATCTCTCGCTTCTTGACTATGAAGTATTATATTTTCCGTCGTGGAGCAGCGAATACATGCCGCGGAATTATTGACTTATTAATGACGATAAGCCCACCGTAAAGAAGCTTTGCGCATGGCCGAGAGAGTCGTGGAAACACGATGCGAACGTTTTATATACTCGCTCGCTCCACACAAGTTCATAGTTTATGAACGGGCTCATGTTTCAGATACACCATATCGGTGCAGTGGGACCACGTGGTGCCTGGATTCCCTTATATATCAGAGACCGGCACGTTGTCGCCGGAATCGTGCATATTTGCTCAGTGTCTGAACATCGCGGCCCTTTTGCGTACGTACAAGCCATTCAAAAGCAACTCTTCAGACAAATTAAACCCGGATAAATCGTATTCTATTTTATACTTTCAAAATCTACATTCCCCTTTGAATAATTACTCGAACAAAAATTCAGAAGGATGAATCTAAACAAAATTAATCGCGAAATATTAAAATATCACAAAAACCCTTGATAAATTGCGATAAGACGAATAAATTGCACCTGTGGGCGCAATGGAAAATGCAATTTGTATTTTTCACAGTCGGATGCTGCGTTTATATCAGACACCGACAGGTCCTGCAGTGGCAAAAAGAAAGAGGTCATGATCTGGTGGACAAAAGGCTCGTAGTAGTGACCGCCTACTGTGGCATCTTCGCCTGCTTCGGTCTTGACATACTCGCTAATTTTCAAGAAGCCCGCGTAGTCGCCGCTCACATGGTGGGAGCGATGACTTGCTTCTCCGCCGGCACTCTCTATTTCTGTCTTCAGGTACATCGCAACGCGAATCTTTACGTTCTATCGTAGACCTCGCTTAGGAGTCATTCATTTGCCAACAACTCATTGGCCAGACGAACGTTTTTGTTCTCAATTTCTATATTTTATTATTCTTGTCGTTCCTTACATCTTTTTCTTTTACTAGGTATGTTTTAGTTAATTTAACTCTAATTTTTGCAAGCGCATTTTCTTTTTCTATTTCTAAAAAGATTTTTCGCTGACCTCTTTTGTATCCATTTCCTTGACACGCGTTGATTTGCCGACTTGACCAAAATTATGATTTAATGCCAAGCAATAACAGTTTTTATGTAAAAAAAAAAATAATAATAATAATAATAATTTTATCATCGTAAAATGATTATAGCAAATCCTTTTAGACATATCTGAGCTATAAGATGGTACCAGCCGTGAACGGCACGACTGTCGTTTATGTACGCGCAATTCTCTCGGCCCTCACGTTAAAATTGACAATTGCCACGATTGTTCTTGGTTATATTTCGATGTCTGAATTTCAGGGTAAGCACATAAGTCACGACTTGTACATAATGTAAAATATATAGTTTATAATTACACAATCCGTAACGTATATTTGTTGGCGAGATTCCTTAATTATTTGCACGCAAAGTGGATAAGTACTGTAAGTGCAAAAATTTACTCGCACCATGATTTCAATTTTGTCGTTGAATAAAAATTAAGATTAAAATAAAGCTTAAGTATTCAGAGACTCAATCAAGTAGTTAATATGAAGATAATTGTTACACACGCAGGTAACGATTACAAGAAGTGGCTACCGGCGGACGGTGGTTGGGGCTGGCATGTCGCTAGTACGATATGCGAATGGATCCTCGCGATCGTGTACTGCGCGTTCCTCCTCACTTTCGTTCCGGAATTTCGATTAATTAACTTCGAAGATCCCGTAGTTACGGTACATCGATTAAGTTGCATTATTTATAAAAGAGTGATCGCTAACGTTTTAAATAATTTTGTTTTAGTTAGCGTATTTGGACAAAATCGCGGAGAAGTCCTGCAAAACGGAAGTGACCGTGCCACAGGATACGTAAATTATTTCCTACATCGATTTGTCAAGCGTTCTCTATGTCCATTTATAGTTAAATTAACAGCTTACCTAATCTATCTTCTATATTTGACTATTATTACATATGATCGCAACGAAAGAACGGCAGGAGATTGAAAAGCGAAACGCAACGCGGACATGTTGCAAACGCAACAAACGAAAAGAAAAGAAAACGATTCAGTCACGACGGATGGCTAAGAGTCGACATATATATTATTCGTTCGTCGTGCGATCGTGAAGAAAACGAATAAAAATGTTATTTAAAGATGCAGCCATGTATAATACAGCCGGAAATAAGAAGAAAATAACACGAATACCGACTTTCTCTTTCTTAAGACCTCATTAGTTGTAAGGTGCCATTAATTTAGATACAGCTGCGAGATACGTTCTAATTTTATAGATTGTGATAGATACGCCGTTATCAAATCAAGGATCGAAATTCGGACGGCGTAAGATCGCACGCGAGCGCAGGTGGAAGAACACTCGTATGATCGATCATGTGACTTGGCTTTTCGCGGTGATAAACTTCTGTTCCAACCACGGTTATATAAGAAAAAAGCGTGATTAAATTCATCGTATCACTGTGTCAACGTGTCATATTTTTTACTCAGTGTTCGCCAATCTTCTACTTCAATTTTTGTTTGAGACTGAATTTATATTGTTAGGATGTTTTGTTAAGTACATTATATCTTTATTAAATATATTATGCTGTATTTTTTTTCAAGATTTTAACTAAATTTGGAATAGTATAAATATTGATGAAATGTTATATTTCTAGGACAATGGACATGCTTTTGTGACATACGATACATCGAGTATCATTTACGTCGTTATGCTATCCAACACCAGATGTCGGCATATCGTGCGGTCGGTAAGACCGCGTCGGAGTTCTTTGATGTAATATATGCTTTGTGTTCAAACCGCATCAAACACATGTTCTAGTAGCTGATGGTCCTCCAAAGTTCTCTAATGATCCCAAATTATGAGAGTAATAAACCCGGTAAAAATAATGGATTAAATGCGCATGATAACAATTTATTCTTGATAAATACGATTTCTTTCTTAAAGCATCGCCATCTATCGAAAGATAGCATGTGATGGGATATAATAACAGTGCCAAATAATATTTTACAATATTTAACAATTATTTGTCTAGCCATTTCTCACTTTTACGCGCTTTATATAAACTATATTGATACTCACATTTCAATCTATTAAATTTCTTGATTTCCTCACCTTTTTGTAATAATATATTGTTTTATTCAATTTGCTATAGTGTTAATTGAAAATTTGATATAGATTCTTTTGCAAAGCTCTTGTTCGCGCCACAAATCATTGTTCCATTTTGAAAATTAGTTATCTCACGATTTAGAGTAGAATTTCATTAAATATATTATAATTGTAGCAATTATGTGCTTGAACTCTAATTAATAAAGAATACCAAAGCCAAACTTCAAGCCACACATAAGATAGCCCAAAGCGAACGTAAGATTTCTTTTCTTGTGGAAACAGATTTTATCATAAAGATTTTAACGAATTCCGAATCCATTTCAATATTCTACAACAAACATTTGGCATGTAATTTTCCATATCTGCTTTTAAAGTGGTCGCCGTTACTAATCTTGACTAAATGAACACGTCAGTGACGGGAAGCAGTAGTTAGACCGCGCACACTAGACCAGATAAACAGTCTTTGGCGAACGTGTCGGGCGACAGCAACGATAGCGACCCAGCGGCGCAGCTGCCGAGAGCGTCGTATTCGTTGACGCAACATCGATCGCGCACCTACCACCACAGGCCATAACCTCTGCATTTCCCGACGAGTTTCACCGCGACCCTGCGGAGTTTCGCCCTTCCGAAAACTTACGCGAGACTTACGCCGGCCTAAACGCTGACGACTTCAAAATTCTCGATTGCGTGCGGAAAGTCGTCTTACGATTTTCAACGTGTGCCGCACAAAGTGAAGACCTTGAAGAACTCCAATAGTCCGAGCGACCTTACGAACGACAGGGTAGTGAATACACCACCGTTCCCAGGGTGGAAATTCAGCGAGTCACCGCCTGATGTATGCCGTCAAGTGCGTTTTACCAGTGATTCTAGCAATTAGTGCGATTCTGGTAGTGCTTCACTTCTCAAATGACGTTAAGAGATCTGCTCCAGATATGCTTTTTACAACAATACGCGTGGTAAAAATAAACACGAGCGTATAACTTTGTTTGTTGCACGCTACGTTACTAACACGTAATCGAAACATTCTTCATCGATTTTTAACCTTTAATGCATGACAAGCAGAAAATTATATGTGCGAGAAAATCATACTGAGTCATTATGGGAAGGTTTTATTTGATCGGGGGTTACCAGCTCATGGGGAATTGTCCACTTCCGCCTCGTGGCTTCACACTATACCGCTTGCGTTATTCTTCTTTAGGCAGACAACGCCCGCGTTCGTACGCTCATTAATTTGACGTGTCGTTCGCATTTTTATCAGCGCATTTACATGAGTGCATATTCAATGCAAATTCATCCACATACCTCGATGGATTTTAATGCGAATGCGTCCAACGAGCTAAACGTTGTCGAATATACAAAATGTTAATAGATTCATTCTGTTGCACGTATGAACGAAATGACTGGAATAATTTTTTTTCATTTGTTACCGTATTTTTCTTTGCAATTTTTCACGGTCCAACATTAACCCTTTTAGTGCCGGGCGAAAAAGAGGTGCTTATGCGAAGATAACCGGCTGATTTTACTAGGATTTGGTAAAAGGCTCATAAAAACCAAACGAAAAGCAATATTTAAAAATTATTTATTTTAATTCTCTCGTAATGAAATTAGACTATTTATAACGTATTTTAAATTTATTTTGATAGAGATCTCTCGCAATGCGAATAGTAAAGCGCTACAAGGTGCGGGCCGATATATCGGCTCTGGCACTTCTCGCCGGTGTAGCAGGAGCCGATATATCGGCTCCCGGCACTAAAAGGGTTAAATATCCTACCGATCAAGTCCGAAGTTAAAATTCTATAATAGTATAATTGAGGCCGATCTCTCAAAGAATAAAACTTTTTCTAATCTACTTGTACGGTTAAAAACATATTTATCAAAATTGCATTAATTTTTTTAATTCTTATTTTTTTTTTATTCGAAATATAACGTTTGAAACATTTCTTAATTTTTTTTTTTCTAAATCGTGTATGATAATTTCTTCCAAAATGCGTGTTAAAAAAATTTCTTTAGTACAATCGTTGTCAACGTGAGCGTGATTTAGCACACAGATAATATTAATCACAGCGTTATATAAGACAAAGTAGTAGTGTTGCGAGAAGCCAAGGGCAATTATTTCTCTTGCAGAACTACACCAAGAGACATTAATGGCAGTTGAGTTACGGCACTGCCGTAGGACCAGACATTGTGGAGGCTGATACTCAACAAGTAGAGGATTGAGAGATCTATGAATAGCCATCAAGGAGCATGAATGACCGTGACTCGTCGGCGGCTGCATCGACGCGAAATTCTTCCCGATAGCGGCGTCGATCGCAGACGTCGGCGACTGACGTCATTATCATTCGCTCTATCACTGACAACAAGCACACAATCGAAATCATGGAGAAACAGGAGTTTTTGGCGAATCTGCATTACCTACCGATCGCTGTCTTCGTCTCTCTGCCTACAGTCTTCATTTTAACGTAATTTCAATCCCATATTTCCAAGTCGTATACATGTGTACGATTACTAGTGTAACTTTTTTTAACACAATTTTTTGCGAGCTATCGTCAAAATATATTATATCGCAATATTGGCTTTTGATTCGTTCACCATACCAGTCAGTGAAAATCAATAATGGTATAACCGATCCTTAAGAGATTATTTTGCAATTCGCAGGTACGTAATCGCAGTCTTAATGGGACACGTGGAAGCTGGTTTTCCATACATCTCCGAAGCAGCGGCTACCGCACCAGAGAGCTGCATTTTTTCCCAAGCCGTCAACATAATTGCTTTGCTCAGTACGTATATAGATATTGCGACATTTTCCATAAATGGGTGAGCACCATCGGCGATGCGTGTTTTACGTCGATGGCCTTTCCCAATATTACCAAGACACGTGCGGACATTCGTCCAATATTGATTGCACCACTGTCTAGAGCGGTTGACCTTCCTATTATCGCATCGGAATTTAAGAGGTTGACATTTCGTATTGCAGTGGGCTTTATGATCTACATAAGATATGCCCAAGTTCGAGAGTGCACCAGCGTCTTTCGCTCGTCGGCCTCATTGCCGAAGTGGAACCATTGGGCCTTAATCTTCGGCCTACTATCGACCGCCGGTTTATCGATCGTCGCGAACTTTCAAGAAACCTCGATGATCATAGTTCATATTATCGGTGCATTTCTCTGCTTCGGAGGTGGTACCGCGTATTTTTGGACACAGGTACGTACGAAGATATCGCGCTCTGCAATACGGAGAAAAATGATTTTACTATTATAGCGAAATCACATGATCGCTAATGCATTATTCGTTCCGGCAGTGATAAAATTTAATTAACGAAATTAGTGAATTATTCGTAACTACATTGAGAAAAGGATTTGGTATTAAAATTTCGTGAATATTTGCCGACCAAATATTTAATTACTGCAATTAAATAATTTAGTTCCGTCTACTAAATATACGGAACTACAGTACTGTATATACAGTACATGGAGCTAAATTATTTATTTGCACCAATCAAATATTTGATCGGCAAATATTCACCAAATTACTTATCACCAAATCCTTTTTTCAGTGTAGAGCAGTTTTGTTGCCGACATAGAAAAATTTGTCTTTCGAACACGTTCATCTGCTGTAAGAACAAAATAGTATTTTCCTAGATGTATTAATTTGTTCTTACAGTAAAATATAATTTGTAGGTTCAGCAAAATAATTCAATGAATGGCAATTAGTGCTCTTAACAAATTGTTTTACTGTCTAAATAGTGACTGATAGATTTTGCTATGCCAGCAAATTCTTTTTTCTCCCATGAAATAGACGCAACTCTTATTACTATCTTTTGAATATCTGTAATTTAAGAAAGATGAAACAATAACAATAACAATAATAATCTTTTTTCTGTTGCAGGCCGTATGTTCGTTTTACTTACACCCATTAGGATGCTCATTACGACTCGCGCACCTTCGTACGGCATTATCGACCTTTAGTACAGTCTGCTTCTTTGTAATTATCATCACAGGCGTGCTGGCTCGTTTGGCCTATAAGGGTTGGTTCGTTGACTTTTAATCACTGCCTGCATCACGGGTATCAGCGTATTGACATTTTGAAATATACTTCAGGAACGAATCCCCGGAAATGGTACAAGGAGGACGGTGGGTGGGAACTGCACATAGCTAGCACGATAACCGAATGGCTTTGCGCAATGGCGTTTTGCATTTATATCCTGACGTTCACGGAGGAGTTCAGGGACATCCGGATAAGTCATCCAAAGGTAATTCTGCTGAAATACACACGGAGGATTTTTCTCAAAGATATGAACAAACCGAAAAAGTACCATAGTAGTTTTTCCCGGCTAGGATATCGAAACAATCAGTTTGAGAAATTTTGCAACGAAACGATTCTAAATACACATCGCTGCCCAGAAATCATGGTCTATGCCATAAACAACACACCCGAATATCCTGCCTTTCTTACAGCGTACAAAGTAGCAATACACAATAGTTACTACCCGAGATTTTTTTTTTCATACTGTCATTAGAGATAACGCGCAACCCAAGGTACAGCGTCTGAAGTGAGACGTTCTTTACTTTTCTGATATTTCCTTTCTATGACAAAAATTTATACACAATCAGATTAAAAATATATCTAATCAAATTATTCGTTTATTTCTGTCATATATAAATTTTGGTTTCAGTATGAGTGTATCCTAGTCGCGCAAATTAAAAACCTAAATTATGCTATCAATATGCTATATTATTCGGCAAAAATGTTCTAATAATCGATGATTTTACGCGACGCGAAAGACAAGATAGCTTCCAGCTTTGCCTTATTAAAGACCAATTAGTGAACTATTCTCAATTTCTTTCTTCTGTATCTGCCGACAGGTAATATGCAATGTGCACGGATTAAGGTCGAGTAACGACGCACTGAACGAGAGCCAAGACACCAGCGTGGTTCACGAGCGAACGAATCCGTCTACCAGTACCTGATCGCTCATCGGCAGAGGCGCCGGTGGCTACGTCAACCTCCTCTCGCATTCGCCGGTCGACACACCCTGCCCCGGCTATCGATACCGCGAGTCCAGGGACAACCTGCTGGACGAGACGGCGCCGTTGATGGCGACGACGCCGGCGGCGCTGCGCGAGAGGAGTCCCGATGTCCTCTGCCCGGTGCAAGTACATGTGCATGACCCCACGGTGTGCGAACGACGATGTCCCAGAGGTCACCGCGCCGAGAAGAGGCGTCGACGGGCCGTCGAGAATCGCGCCTCGAAGTGGATAGACCTTGACGAGAACGTCTCCCACGGTTACATTCTGATAGACGACAGGGACCTCGGCCCCGAGGTCCCTGAGATCGATTGCGAGGAAGCGCCGTTTTCCGAGGACGCCGTCGAGTACAACGATGGGGATGACGACGAGAACGATGACCATAACGACGATGATAGCCGTGACGAGAACAGTCACGGTAAGCGCGAATGGTCGATATACAAGCGGTTGAAGAGAAGCGCCGCGAAACGATACCGCGAGCTGGACCTTGGCGCGACCTATCCGCTCGCGAATAGCCACGGCAACGCCTATCAGGAATCGAGCAGCCACAGCAAGTACACGGAGCTACACTCGGGATTTCGCGCGAAAAATCCCGAAACGAGCCGCCGCGACTTCGACGCGACCTTCTCGTACTCGGTGGCGAACAGCCACAGCGAGCACGGCGGTCCGGCGACGGACGTCAGGGATCGGACTTACAGGGAGGCCTCGGAAAGCGACAATCTGGCCTGGGACACTAGACCAGGCGCGAATTATGAGATGGCCAACAGTCACAGCAACTACCGCGTGTTCTACGACAGTCAACATTACGGCATGATGCCTCCTTGGTCGTCGGAACTGTGGCCGGAGAATCGCCGTGAGGAGGCTCGCGTTACGTCGGACGACTCCAAGGACGATAATGCGAGGAAGCAAGGTGACAACGGGGACAAAACTAGCGCGGACCAGACCGAGAAAGATGTCGAACAAGACTCGGGTACGTCCTGCGACATCGAGCAATGCTTGGTGCAGATCGAGGAGAGCCTTCTGAACATCGAGCAGAACCTCCTGCATGTTCAAGACTTGGATATACCGGAACTGAGGAACCTGCTCTACAAAAGCCCGAGTATCGAGCGGAGCCTCTTCGAGGTGCAAGATCTTCTCTACGCCGACGGCATCGTGCCGGTTATTTCCAAGAAGTCCACGTCTCTCGACTCCGACGAGGAGGAGGAGGATGAAGAGGAGGAGGAGGAGGAGGAGGAAGAAGAAGTATGGGTAGGGCAGAACTTAACGATTAAGGACGACGAGGATGGAGACGCGAGCGCGCCTCTCCTAACCGGCTCCAACGAGGAGTCCTCCGACACGGCGAACGTTGATGAACAGAATCCTTCAAGATCGACCGATGACCATTGCGTCGACGGGTCCAATATCCAACGAGAAGAGGAGGAAGATTCGAGTCTACAGATGTGCGCGGACAAGACGATGAATTTCGTGCCCAACAGTCTCAACAAGACTCTGCCGAGAAGGATTGTCCTGGACGAAGTCAAGGAGAACATCAGGCTCTGCTCGTCCGAGGAGCCCACGATTACGATCGATTACAACCTGAACAGCGCGTGCGCCGAGAAAAAGCCCTTCTGCCGCGACAAGTGGCACAGCAGGACGAACTCGTTGGACGAGAACTCGATCTTTCAGAGCTCAGAGCTCGGCGACAAGCAGGAGAACGGTAAGTCCTCTTTACAGGACATCTTCCTGGAGTCCACGAGCGGCCGTCTGGTGGTAAACGCGAAGGCACGATCAGAGGGCACGTTGCAGACCAGGAATCGGGATAAGCCACTGCGACGCGACCGAGGAGGATCCCACGAGGAACTTCTGCAGGCCGTCGAAGCGACGGCGGAGGACTTCCGGAAGAGGCTGGAGAGTTTCGCGTCGCAGCGACGATCCATGCTAGATCGGCAGAAGAGGGTGACGCCGAAGTCTGTCAAGGAAGCAGCCTCGGATAACACGGCGTCGCGATCGCGAGAGAAGTCGCCCGTGAGGCAAGCGAAGCGCGCGACGACGGCTGGAAAGACTCAAGACAACGGCGCCGGTAAGAGCACCGACAAGCGGAAGAAGAAGAAAACGTCGGGCAAAAATCAGAGCACGTCGGACAACGCTCTGGTGCCCAGCAAACTGATCTCACTCTCGTTGTCGTTGCTCCTCGCAGCTCTCCTGCAGGCGGTCAGGTGCTTAACGGATCTCGTGGAGGACGCCTTCAGGTCGGTCAGTTACGACAGAGGCGGCCTGCTGCAGTAAAACCGCAGCGAGCTCCTCGAAAGTATCCCCCTCCCCTCCCCCAGATAGTGGCGACAGGTATTTGCGAACGTCATCGGCGGATACATAATAAATATGTAAGGACGATCGACCGCGTCAGGTAACCAGATCTTGGCCGTAATCGTCCGAAAATCGCACCCGATATCTGTGATAAACGTTATGCTTAGGGTTTCTCGGCGGTATCGTGTTGCTCGCTGCTTCCAAATATCAAGATCGAACAAGTTAATATTGTCAACGAGTCAACCGAGACCGGAGTCTGTACGCAGTTCGTCAAGATGACGCGCTGTGAAACGTGATTACGGTCGACCCGACGAGCGAAGTAACTCCATTGCCCTCCGAGACGATCTTCCGAGAGATCTGTATGTACGAGCACTCTCTGTGCGAGCATACGCGTTAAAAGACGGACACAACGAAACGAGATGCGATAGTGCAAGATAAATCCTCTTATCGATGGTGCTGAATACGGGCTAAGCGTGAACGATATTTAGTATTACGTTCAAAAGTGCCTAAACCCATCGCGTATCACATACGAGGTGTAGTACACTATTGATAACGCTATTTATGTCTACCTACATAAACCTCTTTTTCTAAGGTGTAAGATCATTGAGAGGAAATAAAGCGAAGTGAGACAAGAAAACACGACGCTCGAAATACGAAAACGTTCCACAGTATAAGTCGCTTCTTTCTATTATTTTATCCATCCCCTTCTCGCGATTCAAAGAACAGATAAATAAATCCGAGATGTGTTATATTTCTCGAATGTCGAGAGGAATCTCTCGCTGACACCAGGGTCAGCGCAAAGCTCCATTGTAAATTTATCGGTTATCCGATATCGAGACACAGTATTGAAGATATTCCTCGAAATATATTTCTATATCCATCTGGGAGCCAAAATCTTCTTAAGATAAAAAGATTTAGGGAGATGAATTATCATCTCAAGATTTACCGTCATTAAAAAAAGGATATTTTCCCGTGAATGCCCCTCGAAATTGGAGAACAGTTATTTTCGTTTCGCAACTTCAAATTATACTGAACAGTAATTGATGCCAAATTTAACGTTTCCGATAATTTGCAAATTACTGTCGTCTGTAATTATATTGACAAATGTTCCTCGCTCTATCTCTAATTGATACTCAACGACCAATTTACTATTCCATTCTGTCCCCTGGCTATCCGATTCGCACAAAATGATCTGTACGTACGTTTCAGGGGGTAAGATAGTATGCGAAGGGAGGAATTCGGATCGATGGTCCGTGCTTATCGCGCGTCAATCGAAGGGGCTGACATGGTAACGCGACACGAACTGCTCCGAAATGTCCATTCCCTCAAATTCGAGTGTCTCATACAATCAGTTGGACATTCTCGAGTTTCCAAGGTGAGGTCTATCGCTTGTGAAACTTGCTCCGAAGATGCTTACGTTTGCCGGTCGGCGGTATGCTGACAAGCATTTCACCGTTAATGCAACGGCGATATACGCGAGTAATAACACCCATGTTCAGACTAAATAACTGAATAGGATTTGGAAAGTTGTTATCGATCGTATAAACTTGCGTCGTTTAGATAGACACGAAACATGATAGAGTTATAAAACTTCTGATTTTTACATCCAACTTGTGTCTAGACGTAATACGTGGTTATTTTCTATTATACAAATATACTTATTCCTATGTAAATATAAATTTTCACAATTCTCGTTTTCGGCGGATTCCGTGAGAGAGTGAACATTGCTCCGAAACGCGGGAAAAAGATATCAGCGGAAACGCGTGAGACGATGTTACCATTATCACGATATTTAACGTACCGCTGTATAATAAAAGCGAATAGATAACGCGGTCAGGTAAGTTCACTTTCGAGTATATCAATCGTTTAGAAACGACATTGTCCGCGTACTGCTCCACGCTAGAGCCAGCTCGCCCGACTGGCCGACATAAAAACGCCATTACGAAAATGGAGAGCCAGACATCGAGCGGGTCTTCCGAGACTTAATACTAAAATATACTCTACCGCGAAAACGAAATCGAACGCCGGACTAAATCGCACCCGTTTTCCGCTGGAGAAAAAGCCACCTCTCTTCCCTCTCTCGAGGGACTCGAATTTCGCGAACTTTCTTCCGCACTTTCAACATTTTTGCGGAATGTGTCTACCATGGAGATATCCTGCATATATATATATATATCGACCGTTTTATGCGAATGCACTGCATAAAGGGACACGCAAAAGGGTATGCGTTACTGACTGCTACTACGCTGTCAGACTTTACTCCAACCTCTTTGCAGTTTGTCGCGACGTCATTATTTATATACCTTGTCGACTGACGCGCCTAGACATAAATCTTACGTCGCGAGCCGACAAAGTTGGTGGAAACAGATAATAGTTAGTAAAATGGCTGTAATTCAGGTTAAATTCAAATCGGCTTTCATTCTATTAACCATTATCTATTTTCTACTCGCTTCACTGACACCCGCGTGACGCGAGATTTGTGTTTACAAGCGGTAGTTGAGAAGTTCCATAATTGTGCTACTTAGTCAAGTTGGAACTAACGTCGTCGCGAATGAACTACGCCAGAAACTTGGAGCTACCAGCAGGAAGTATTTCCTAGCTATTTCTCCAACTCTCATCCAAAAATGAGACGACCATTGCTCAGCGTAGAGCACTGCGAGCGACAGGAGTGCGTAGATTAATGTAGGTTTTCCTTTAAGAGTCATAAAATTTAGAGGTGAGAAACCTTTGTGCGCGCCCTTGTGCAAAATTCACACTTTGTAGCTCAGGTCCAGCAGCGGCAGCTTCCCCGGCTTCAATCCAAAAGCACCTTTCAACTATCTCGACGACCCCTTTGATGAACAGGCGCGAAACTGATGATCTTGTTCGTCTCCGCTTTGTTACTCGCAACGTACGCATACGGCACATGCACGCGTTTGCACGAAGGCAATGAATAAAATATAGCAACGCTACCTTGGAGCGTTCTATAGAACGACGCGCATTCGCTTATGCATCACGCGTTGCGCAACGTCACGAGAGCAGGAATGGGGAGGCTTTGTGTCTGAGCCGATGTATATCGCACACCTGGCTCGCGCGAAAACCACTCAAATTTCCGTCGGGGAATTGTCTAATTGTAAGTATCAATCTCTCAGTATTGTAAGATCAATCTGGAGCTGCGTGAACAAGGCGATAAGGCTGAATAAACCTCACGGACGAAATGTCCAGCGCTGCCTTTGAGCAAAAAAAAAACGTCGAGGGTAATGATGAACTAGGCGCAGTATTAATCTTACAGAAATGCACACAAAAATGCTTCCTTTTTAATTGTATAATCGGGAAACGTGCCAAGGTGTAAAATTAGCGTAGCCGCTATTTAATTCCGACGCGTTCGTCTTGCATTTAATGCAGTGGTTGATAAAACGCGATACACTGCTGCGACAATTGTCCCGGACGCAGCACATGAAAATTCAAGATGGATACTATCACAGGTAATTCGTCTTAACGAAATAATAAACTCAAGTCATAAATCATATTCGCAAATTTTCGTAAGGAAAACCGAGGTGCACACAAAATTGCATGTAACTGTTTAAAATAGCGAACGCACAAATTTACATAATATCTACAAAGTTTGAATCAGCAATCATGCGGTTTAGCAAGTCATACGATGAGAGCTTCGAAGACCCGAGGGAGGGAAAACATTTCGTATAGACGTGAGAATTATTGTCCATTTTGCGATATTACATTTTCCATATGTCCCAGTTAAAAATAACAACGTTAAGCCATTCACGGGGGATTAAATTGCAGCAGTTTCACGTCGAAATCCGTTTAAAAGTTAATAGAGAGAAAAATTGTCGGGGAGAGAGAGAGAGAGAGAGAGAGAGAGAGAGAGAGAGGGAAAGGGCAAGAAAAAAGAGAACGTAAAGTTTAACCATTCGGCAATGCCCGCGATAATCCTCGCTGGATCATGGTAGATCATGATAAACGATCATGACTCACACACAGTGATTTTATTTTCCTCCTTGCCGCCGCCGAGAGAGCGTCGTCTAATTTTTATCGCGCTCCTAACTTCTCCGTTCTATCGTTTTTCCGCGCCGTGCTCTCGCTCGGTCGTCGTGTGATAATGACAAAAATCTTCCGACAAATTTTCATCAACCACCGTGAAATTGAATTTTCTTTTCGGGCGCTGCGCGGCTAGATTGAAAGCGTGTTCATGGACCGAATCGGAACGAACATGTCGACCGACGCGCGTCGAGTTGGCGGCTGCGATTTAATTTCGGTAAGTCCACAAATTCGCGGGCGCCGTTCGATACTTAGGAGCCATCGTAACTAATTTTCCCTCTCCGTCCGAGAGGACAATTTTTATTTAAAGATACGCCTCTCAAGATTGTTGACGTAAGAACCATTTCAGTGGGAACGTGCTATCGTTTATTGATTTTGTCATACGACTAGATGAAAAGTTAATCATTTCTTCTAGGAAGGAGAATGAGAGAAAACAGTCGGATCCGAGAATGTGCGCCGAGGGGGAAGGAAATTCCGTCGAGGAAACGGCCCACGTTTAATCTTACGACGAACACGGCTATATTTCTCGGGCGAGCTGCGAGAGCTGAAAATCATATGGAAGCATCGATCGTTGCGGGCCGGGAATTGAAATTTTTTACGTAAATCACGCGGTTTACCGCGGTCAAAGTCGAGAATTTTAATTATACATTTTGGCGCGCGCCAAGGGGCTGAGAGGAGGGGGAACATGCGGCGCGATTAAATACACGGTAGGCGTGTAATCCGGCGCGACCGATTTTCAATCGTCCCCTAATGAATCTTCGAAACTTTTTTTCCGTTCCAATTACAACGGGCGTCACGAATAGGATCGTCGCTTCGCGTCAACAGCGTGATATGTGCATTACTCCTGGGACGCTTCCGGCATGCTCATATACATTCATGCACATTGCGCCACGACCCGCGGGATAATGAATACACTTCGTATGTATGTAGGTGCGCACGGTGTTCTTGCAAAGGACGAACCTCATTTATAATAATACCCGCAGCTGCGCTTTGTTCAACAAAACATTCCAGCATGCCGTTTAATTAAAGCTATAGAGCAATTTAAATAGCGCGCCTGGTAAATAATTTGCCTGTAATTGCGACTTGATTTTTTTTCAAGCGCGAATGGAAGGGGTTCAATTAAATTTTAAACCCGTTAGCCTCGCGAGATTTAATTCACAATTTCATTTTCGACTGCGATATTACTTTACACGCTTCTCGTAATGTAATTGCTTGATTTTGCGAACTCAAATATATGCATGATGGTAATGTATTTGCTTGAAAAAGCTGGATGATATTGATTTCAATCAAACATTGATTAATTTATCCCTTCCTTCTTTTCACATGAAATTATTAAAACGTAACGATATCTTACGTTAATAAGCCGGCAGTATTCGAATGCAATCTTCATTTCGCGGGTCCGGTGAGGAATCTAAAGTGTTTACGTGCCGTGTACTTCGGAAACCACCTACTCCTTATGCCAGAACAAAGTTGTAGCCGGTCGACCGCCCGTCGCTCACGTTGCCACTCGCGGTTAAACGTTTACGGAATACTTAAAATATTAACGTCATCTCTGGAAAACTTCCAGAAATAAGACGGATGCGCAGCTTGGAGAACGGGACTAGACGGGAAATCGATGAATTCTTAATAACGT